AACAGAGTGACACAGCATGAAGAAAATTCATAATGAAAAGCTTGATGATAATGAACGCATATAATAGATGACTCTTTACAAAAGGAAACTGATCTCATAAGAAAGCAGAAAACAAAAACTACCTGCTATCTTGTAAACATCAGTAAAGGTAATGTCTAAAGAGAGCATTTTTTCAGATAGAAAAAGTGCCAGCTGAGAACCCTGTGCTGTATCTTGAACTCCTCCCTCGCTTTTAGCAACTGTCTTCAGAGACTGTGTTTGTTTCTCTAAATCCACTCGTGTGCACAGGTGCAAAGGCCTAGGGCATCCCTAACAACTCTAATGGATGGGACTCACCTCAGCCAGTAGCACAGATCATAGCACTGCGACACACATTCAGCCAATTAGATGCAAATAAGAATTGCATTATCTGCCAAACCCAAGTCTTCTCAGAGACAAGGGCGAAAGAGAAATCTCCTGCTTCAGCTTTTGCTTTGCTTTTTATTAATTTGTTGCTGGACATCTTCATATTTGATTTGCAGCCAATAGACTGGGAAAACACATTGAAGATTTAAAAGCCTTTCAACTGATAGTTGGAGTTGACTATTTAGGTAATATTCAGGACAGCAAAATAAGTTATCTAAAGTAAACAGTATTTTGGTGTACTCAGTCTTTCAAAAGACACGCTATTAAAAAAAAGTCTTCCCTCATGGAAATTTTATGGATACAAGACTGAATTACAGTAAGAGTATTTAAAGTTAGTTAAAAACATACTCACATATTCCCAACAAAAATTTCACATGGCTTTGGAAATTTTTGGAAATTCTATTTTTATCCTTGGCTACGTCTGTCACACAGAAAGATAAACTCTAACACCCCCTTAGGCATTACTGCAGTCTTCATGGGCAATAAGCTGTAAGATTAAAAGGTCTGAGAAGGGTTTATTGTGGACTGAAGGATCCGAAGAATCTACTATTTAAGAAGGCAAAACTGCGTAACACACATTTACAGTCTTTTTAAAATCTAAACTGGTAGCATCCACTTGGCTGAATGTAGCACATAGAGAAACCATTGGCTTTGTTTGTCCACACCAGTGCAGATACCAGAGACAAGAACAAAGAGTTAAATCTATTCGACACGTTCCCAACACACAGTTTGATAAAACATCTGCCTAAAGAGTCCCAAGCAGCAAGCCTTTAGCCACCAATTAACAAGAAGTAGCAAGGTGCCCACAAAGAGCCAGCCAGCCAGAGGACCAAACCACGGGCTGTCTTCAGAACTGTCCCCCCTCAGAAGGTCTTACCATCACAGCTCTGAGATGGAAAAAACAACAAGAAACAAACACAAGCACAGGAAAGTCTGAACTTAACTGAAGTTTCAACCGGTAACTTTTTTGAAGTTACGTTTCTTAGTTACATCTGAGTTACTGGGAGACTGAGATAAACACAATTAGAAACTGAGGAGATAAGCAAGGATCTATCAGAATTTGTGCTGTGGTAACATCTGCCTTTCCTAACAAGGACCTGTGCTTCTTCACCATGCCCCTGCATCACATCACATTGCCCCCAAACATTTGGAGGGGAAAAGAAAAAAACTTCCCAAATAAAACCAAAACTCACTGAACTGGAGCAGGAAATGGGCCTGCTTTAGCACACTGATAGCACACGCTTCTCAAACTTAAGCCTAAGTCAGTTTTTCTCCTTTCATGGACCTAAGAGTATAAACATGACTAAAGATCATTTTGGGGAAGTTTTCACTTGCAAGTATGCATAGATGAAAGAGTTATTCTTAGTCATCTTCTCCATGTCAAAAATAAACCCAGCCATTTCCAGAATGTGTCACAATACAATATTAACTGTGTATCTGCAGTCACTGAATCAGTGGACACTTAATGGCCTTAATTTAGAATCTCTCTATTTTCTGGAAACAGTCTAGCCTCTGGTGCTGGAATACTCTGAACTACTAATACCACTTCTGAAGGAGTCAATGTGTCAGCATAAACACCTCTAAAACCAGTCCTAGTGACAAGCAAGCCAAACAGCATGCCCCCCTCTCCTCCCCCTGCCCCTTGGCAGCCTGGCTGCCAGACACAGAGCAGAGGCTGCATTTTTCAAATTTATGGCAAGTATACAAGGACTCTTCAAACAAAAAGAGCTTGAAAAGGTATAGCAAAACAATTTGTTCTCATACAAAGTGCACACTGTAAGTGTATATTTTACATTACCTATGTATTATACATATATAAGCATGCCAGGCTGCCTGTACAGACACACAAAGCCATCCTCAGCCATCCTGTAACTCGTTGACTATGGACACAACACAAGAGCAAGCTGAAAAAAACAAGAAGCACCACATAGGAAGGAAGACCTCAATTTCAGTCACCTGACATCAACTTCATTTCAAGGGAATCAAAACACACCATGCTCCTAAGAAGTATGGTCTCTTCCAGTAGAAAGCCAGATTTCCTGCTGACACCAGGGGAATCCAACCCAGCTGAGAACGGGCACACGTTACCAAGGTCTCACAATAAATGTTACAGCCACGTGGAAGAGTCCCAGTGGGAAATACATAGCATTTGAAAGTTTTCCCTCGAGTTTTCAAGATACTAATTATAAAATACCAGAGCAGTGAGACAGCTGGAGCAGATACAAGGTACGCGTTAAAAGAGGTGAAAGACTTGATTGCTAGCTGGTTTCTCAGTGAACGTGCTTCACCTCTCATTTATGGCTTCCTGAATCCAAAAAGAAGGGCTCTCATCTCCACGTTTCTCATGAGACGTGGTCCACGTGAAATTTTAATTCAGAATATCTAAGAAAGCAGAATCTTCTCAGATGATGCCTACTTCTAGATTTGAGACAAAACTGAAGGAAATCAGAACTCTTCATAAGCAGCGTGACCACCACAATATCAGACATTTCATACTGCTCTACATCTTCAGGTTAACAATAAGGCAACAAAGAACAAAGAAAGGAAATGCAAAATTGAGAACAGAGTATTTCTCTCTCTCTCTTTTTTTTTTTAATTTATTTTTTAAACATTTACAAAGCCAGTGATGGATTCGCTCACATTTACAGGCAAGGCAGGAAAAGTCAGGCCGCCTGCTGCAGACCACAGGGGAAGAAGAACTTGAATGTGGCATCCTTCAGTTTTCTGTTGGAACTTCATGCCTCCACTATTATAAGCTGTATCTCCAATTCCTTCTTCAAGTCACATGAAGAAAACAGCAGCTGCCAATATCAAGCAGCATTTTAAAAGCCTTCCCTACCAGGTATTAATTCAATATGTTTACTTAACATGAAGGGGTTAATAGACGTTTTGCTGAAAGGCAAAATAGAAGGAAACACACAAGCGAACGTGCTGATACCTGGCAAGTCAGCCCAGTCACAGAACAGCCTCCCAGCACACAGCCTTGCAGGAACCAAGATTCAGGGGAAGGACTGAAAACTTCTAAATCCAAGGCTTGAGCTGAAAAAACACCATTACACCAGTGCTACAAGTAGGTGTGCCCACCTCACGGCAGCTGATTTACAGAATACTGATGTCCCCCCGGCAATTGTTGCTGGTGATCCCAGCACTGCGCTACTGCCACTGCAGACTGCTATCTGCCCCAGGGGGAGGCAGCAGTGATAAGGAGGAGGTGGGGTGAGATTCAAGTCAGGAGAGCAAAGCTGCTAATTACTACTCTGGGCAGCAAGAAAGAAGATACAAGATACAAAGATAAAAACAGCACTCGTTTTAAAGACAAACTTCCTTCAAGCAGAGAACGGTAAAATTATTGTTCACGTTTCCAGTTGATAAAGAAGTGAAACATGACAAAAAACAAGACTGAACATAAGACTTGGTCTGAGTAAGACTTGAATCAAGCACGTGTTGAGTGTTAAGTGAGTCAGTGTAATTTTAATTCTCAAAACGTTTACTAACCTTATAATAGGCAGAGAAAAAAAAAAAAAAAAGAGAGAGTTTCCATATGACCTGTCCTTCAGAAAGAATAGAACCTGTAGTATTCAGTGAAAAAAACAAGTATTTCAAAGTCACCAGACATGGGCAAACATGTATTTGAAGTGCTCGTGTATATGATAAGAGACATGCATGCCAGTTGGTCATTGGATAATCTGTTTTCCACCCATGTAATATATTTAGCAACCAATATAGAATGGCGAAATGAAGGAAGTGAGATGCCCTCTTTTCTCCCTGATGAAGGTACTTCATGAACATCAATTACATGTTAATATCCCTGGGAGGCAAGTGTGACAAGTCCTATTAAGCCATTTTAAAGATTAGGACACTGAGTCACAGTGCCAGATTAAGAACTTCCTCAAAACCAACAGGAGAGTCGGGGGGGGGGGGGGGGGGGGGCAGCTGCACCCCAGTGGGGCCTGGGCAGCATGAAGCCACACTGCTACTCTGCCTTGTCTCAAGAGTTGGAGTCTCTGAGACACACACACACAAAAAAAAGAAAGCAAGCAAGAAAAAAAAAAAACACACTCAGATGCAGTTTCCTGCCTATGCCAGCACGCCTCAATTCTGACCTGCAGGGACCATCTTTAGATGCAAGAATGCAGTTTGGTTTCCACGTTTTGGCTGAAAGCACCAAAAAGGTTGCCAATTGTAAACGGTTTTTTCAAGTCAGCAGAGCCCTTCAGATCCTTCCCGATAAGCTAGTTAGGAGGGAACTGAAAACTTTCTGATACTGGATCAACCACATACGCCTGGGGCAAGTAAACCAGCAAAACCAAGTCAACTTACGGCCAGCAACGTGAATTCAATTCACACGCTGAATTTACACATCCAAAATAAAGCAAGGGACGCGACAAGACAATTACTATCGTAGATTAAGGCATACTTCAAAGCACAGACGAAGACCCAGCAGATGCCATATTCACTTAACTCAGAAGGTGCGTAGGGAGGGGTGTTGTTACGCTCATTAACACACTCACTAGGACACGTCCAAACTAATAGCCCACTTCAGCGCCGCAACGCGTTCGGAAAGCATTTTCCTGCCTTAATCGCGGGATACTTACGAAGCAACGCCGCTTTTCCTTTTTCTGCGTCTCCCTCCGACCGAACGCGAGAGCCCCAGAGCTGCCCCGCCTGGCACCGCGCTCAGCCACCCAAGCAGCCGACCGGCGCCCGCCCGCACCCTGACACGGCCCGGCCCCAGGAGCTGCCACCCGCCACGGGACGACCCGGCCCCTCCGCACCTGCTCCGCCCGCAGCGTGACCCTACCGTCGGCGGAGACGCCGCTCCGCATGCTGCCCGCCGCGCGGCACGGCTCCTCTCGTCCCGGCTGGGCTTGGGGCGGGGCCGGGGCGGGCGGAGGCGGGCCGGTAGCCCCAACCCCGTGCGAACCGCGCCGGGCGCCCCGCGCCTCCAGCAAGGTGCACGGCCGCGCCGCGCGCAGCGGGAGCTTTCGCCGCGCCCCCTCGTGGCTCCGCGGGCCCGGGCCGTTCGGGCGCCCACCTGCGGGCTGCGGTCGGGATCCGCGTTCAGCCCGAGGAGGGGTCTTTCCTCCTTCCCACACCACATGCGGACCGTCGTGAAGGCGGCACCTGTAAATTGGGGAAGTGGGAAGCCGTCGCGGAGCGTGAAATGGGGAACTCAGAAATGACTTTCCTTTGTTTAGGCTCGGTATTTGAGGAAGCTGAAGGCTTGTCATATATTGGAAAGATTTAACCTACGAGTACGCGGAAAACTACTAGAAATAAAGGTCAGGATAGAGCTAACGCTACTTGTGCTACACCTGCTTGACTTTCATCAACACAGCCATCTTGCTAATGTGGAAGTGAGGTTTCACAAAAAAGAATACAGACACGAGTAGGAATCACTTGACGTGCTGCAGCAAGGAGGGGAAATGCTCTGCAGGCAAAGCACATAAATAAAGGTTTGATAAAAAACCTCAGCAGACCCTACAGTTCCTTACAGTTCCTTACAGATACAGTAGGTATCTGACAGCATTTGTAAATGCTTTGACGTGTGCCACACAGCCACCTACCCTGAGTGACCTGGGAGGTGCCTGCAGGAGCAGGACGCTTGGCTCTCACAATAGGAGCTACCTGACCTATTTCACATTTGCTTGCCCTGAGCCAAGTGTGAAACTGCCTGGGAGAACATGGGGAGAAAACAGTCTGAGGAGCAGTGGCCCTGCTCATCCACACACAGCCGGGTGAAGCACAGTCTGTAAGGAGCTGAACATTTAGCCAACCCTCTGAAATCATTTGTCAACATTGGGGTACTTTGCACAACAAAATTTCTCTCATCTGGGTTGAAATTTGTCTTCTAGCTTCTTGAGACTTGCTTGGCTGATCTTAACTTTTATTCGGTCATTAATTTTTGAGTTGCAGTATATTTATCTGGTTTATTTAACTTTGGGAGAATATGTGTACTTTTTCCTTAAAGTGATAAAGGTAAGACAACAACAATAAAAGAGAAGGTACATATCATTTTCTTGTTATCAGAAGGAGTGCAGATCTTTAGCAGCCTTGAGGAAAACAAGAACAAACAGTGAGAAAAGTCTCTTGGCAAACTTTCAGCGAAGGTAATCTGTAGTTAGCAGGGAGTGGGTGTGTACTAAAGAAATGCTATCAGCCTGACTGAAAGTCTTCCTAGCTTCAGTCCAGCATTGAGAGCCACGTGGAAGAAAGTTTCCTCTACAGAGAACCCAGAAAATACAAAGTCAAACTTAATTTAACCCTTCCTGGAAAATATTCTAAAGCTTCCTTCTTTAGGAAGGATGCTTACAGCACTGACCTCCTGTGTACCTCTTCACCTTTCCCAGGTCTCTCTTTTCTCCACTCCTCTCAGAAGATTCTAAGCGTAAAGTAAAGTAACCCCCTCCTGCCAAATGCCTCCAGGATGTGCCAGCACATCCTGAAGAATGGAGGCATGGAGGGGGCTGCATGCACCAGGGACCTTGCTATTCTAATGACCATGGTCAGTGTGTTTGCTGATTAAATACTTGGCCTTTGAAAATGGCCAGAAGATGAACATACACTTCATGCCCATTAGTTTTAACTCTAATCATAAACATCTTCCATTAGATACTACTTAACTGGAATTAAGAAATTTTTTATTCACAGTCACACCCACCTCTTTCCAAAGGAAAACATAGCTTAGATACAGTCTAATCTCACTGACTAAAGCTTAGTTTAGTAAATACTAATCAAGAACTACAAATCTGCCATTACATGTGGTTCTGTTGGCTACTCTAGCCCAACCTCTCTTAGATGAAATGCAGGACATATAACCATAAAAGGAAGCAGTGCCTTCCCTAGGTGCTCCAGGGCCTCCCCTTCCAGCAAGACCAAGTTCCTAACCCATTATTTTTAACAGCACGGCTGCTTTGTACATTTTTTTTGTTCACGCTTGGCTGTTCACCCCTTTTAAAGGATAGGAGTAAGAATAGTCCTTATGAAAAACAATCCAGCCTTATCAACTCATAAAGCCATGCCTGCTAAGTGCCGTAGGATGTTCATCCCCTCACTGTGGATTATTACATAAAGCACTCTCCTTCCTGACATGTGCAAGCCTACCTATTCATATTCTTGTAAATGTAATACTATCTACATATCCAACACAATAAAAGTCCTTCTTGTGGTATTTAAATGTTCTGTCTGATCTTTTCTAATTAATTATGGATTTCTTCAAAGTTAACTCTTTCTTTTTTAAACAAAAGGTTGTTAACACTCTGGTTGTTAGTGTTGCAGCCTGTGTCTCGGGAGACCATGCTGAATTCACTCCCCCACCACTCACCCCCTTTATGCCTTTGAGCAAGTCCTGCATGTACATTGAGTATATTGGTTTGTGATCTATTGATCTATAGGGTAAGGTAATAAGGCTCATGAGGGTGAAATGCTTGTATGAAGGTAAAAACCTCGACGTTTTATTACATCCCATAATAGGGCACTATTGGAAGCGTAAGTATTTTCCTGCTCATGGTTTGAGGTTCGTCATCATATTCATCTCTCGTGAGAATCAGTATTTACATACAAATTTTCATATCTTCTCTTTCAGTAATACTGTGGAGTTTTGTTTTTGTTTTTAAATGAACATATGAAGTTGTTAGAGTGGTTCTTTTAAAGGAATTTTGCTTTACAGATGATGGGAAGCAGATCTAAGGAAAGGAAGCTAATTTCTTTATGTGGGAGCATGATTTTCCAGGAGTGTGGAATAGCTGGATTTTCTTACCACATGTGCAGGAAATAGCACTTCCTACTCAAGCCTGAATTTGTCAGATAATGCCTTTAATGAAATGACTCCAGTGTGAGGCACCTTATAAGCAGCATCTCTGCTCAAGTTTCTAAACACATCAGCAGATTTATACATGCCTATTGAGGTAGAGTTTAAAACACTGTTCAATGGTAAACAGTGAATATTTAAATTGTTCCACAGGATCCTTACTACTTAATTAAAAGCAACAACAACAACAAACCCCCAACAAAACCAGAAACAAAAATACAACAGAGAGAAGTACCAATAGAACACACCTAACTAATTTTCTAGCCCTCTTCCCACAGTCAACAGCAAGTTCATGAACTAGGGAAGATGAGTGATGAGTCTTTTATCCTCCAACACCAATCCTGGTGTTGTGTTTATTAGGTTGGTTTGGTTTGTTTTTGTTTCCATACATGAATGTTTTCTCTGATATTTTCATAGGGAGGAAACAAAGTTTGTCTGATACAGTTTACAGATACAAATCTAGGAAATTTCACTTTTTGGATAACATCTCTTTGCTGCTTAAATCTCCCTGAAGCTAGAATGGATTTTACTGACACAAAATTATTAATCATACACAAATCTGAGCACAGAATAATCTCTTGCTTCCCATATAATTCTGAATTAAGTGATTCTTAGACACCTTGGTAACTGCAATCTGTCTGCAACTAGCCAGCACAAGCCTCTTCAAAATCTTCAGTTCATGAATCTAGAAGTTTCTTATCTGAAAGCAGAAGAATGATCCTAGCACTCTCTAAGATAGCTCTAATTTTGGTAAGGCATAAAGTTATCATAGAACCTCACACTTTTGCTTGATCTGCACTTGCATGTCAGACGCCATTTTGTGAGAGTGTCCTCTGCTGCCATCTGGCACAGCAACAACATGTAATGGAACGCTGGTGAGGAGGTTCAATCTCTACTGCTGTACCACCAACATCTAATGTAATAAAAGGAGGCATCACTTTCAGAGCAGCCATCATATAAACTGTTGCATTTTTTTCCTTTTTCTGTCCTGTTAAAATATTTAGTCAACCAAAGGGAAGGGGTATATTTGGATGCTTTCCCCAGGAATATGATAATTATTTAATTTTATTAATGCCACATCATCTGTACTCTAAGGGCTTTAGTCCACAGATATTTTATATTTTCATTTCTGACATTTGAGTTTCTGTGCTGAAATGGAGTTTTGATTCTACTGTGTTTCACAGAAATCACTACTCTGAGAAATGCATATGAAAGAATATCAAAGGCATAGATGTATTTATTCTCCCGTTGAACATCTCAATGATGTAACAGATATTAGAGAGGAAAGGATCAAGTAATTAAACATTGTTTTGTGTAGATTCCAGTAGGCTTTGGACTGGACCTCATTTTCCTAGCTACTCCTCACAGCTGTGCTGCCTCCAGTTCTGCTGACAAATGAATCTCTGTAAAACTAACCAACCAAGCTCAACAAAGCTGATAAGATTTCCTTCCTGCACTGCTGTGCTAACACCTTTCCTGAAATGTATTCTCAGTTTGGTCATACTCGATTTCAGATTAAGACTCTGCAGAGCAAAATGAAACTTAAATGTCAACTGAATGATAACAAAATTTAAGTTAATACATAGTCTTTCAAGCCAGATGATTCCAGGCTGCGTACAGATGGTAAATAAACTCTGCTTTGTTGGTGTGCTAAAACATCTGCATGAGCTGGTAACTGTCAGCTACTTAGAAGATGTCACACTGCTAAGTAGCCAGCTGGGTTGCTTCGGATTATATCAGGAGGAAAATAAACATGTATGTGATAAAAGATTTAGGGGGAATTGAAAAAAACAAAACACAATAAGAAACAGCAAACAAACAAAATTAAAATTAAAATTAAAATCCCCAAAACTATAGAAGAAGTGAATGCTTGACATGCACTCACATGAAAATAGCTCCTAGAATGTGACTGTCTTGCTAGTGAAAAACATGAAGCTCTGTGAAGATACACT